AGTGAAGTTATGCTGATGCTTTATCCATTATGCTGACGAGGAAGAACTAGCGAAATCGTGGAGATTGAAGCCGGTATTGCGCACGTACTCGATGAGACTGATCTGCTCCGACTGGAATTGCTCAGTGAGACGCACTAACCGCGCATTGAGCATAGCGTACTTCTTCCGCACCGGTTTCGGTGGGTTTCCAGCGCTCAAGAGGACCCTCTGGAGTCTGCAATCGTTTTCATCCACCTTGAGATGAGCGACGAGCTCGAAGATGTTTACATGCGACTTCTCAATCATCTTGTTTAGAGCGTTGTGCCATCCCTCCAGATGGTTCGTCGTTCTGGCTTCGAGTTCCTGTCGAGAGGCGTGGATTGAGGGACTCAGTCCACGAACCCGGTGGCGCCATATGAGGCTGACGTCATGACGAGAGGGGGAATCCGCGAGATTGCGAATTGATCTCTTGCTCCAATCACCGCGAATCGATCATTCGAGGGAGCACAGAACTCACCCATGATGATTCCATATGGCGCGAGGAAAAACGTCGTTCTCCAACCAAGTACGGATGAAATATTCCTTGAACTCACTCAGCCTTGCGAAGGCTTCGTGGTCCGCTCCGGGGGAATCGGCGTCGATTTCCATCCACGCGTCGTCGATTCTTTCCAATGGCACGAAACAAAGTGCCATCGTCGACTTAATGAACCTGCGAAGAGAGTTGTTTTCGGAACCTGTCACTGCCTCGAAGGTTCCCGGTGTTAGCGCCCCCCACCCTCCGTTCCCGATACTCGATCACCAAGGCTCACCTCTTGACAGAGGCGTCATTGCTGTATGACGTTGAGAGTCCATGTCTCTGAACGTTCCTCCAAACAGCCTGGCAGAAATGGAAGGCACATCCCCTGATCGCTGCTGTCGGGAAAACTTGCTCTATAGCCTTCAAGGCCGCCACCTCGTAATCTAGATGAAATTTCGCCGGCCTGAAGAGCAAGCCTCTCGATGCGGCGAGGTCCGAGATCAGCCTGAACATTCGAATATATGTGTCTTTCTCCTTGTCTGCCAGGAGAAAGTAAGCCAAAGGCATCATCTGGCCTCTGAAGAAAGCATGGAGAGAGTACAACTGACAGAAAAGCGAGGGCACGATTCTGAACGTGCCATCCATGAAGACCGCCGTGGCTCCGCAGAGAATTGTCAGGGCCTCCTCGGTGAGGAATCCCAGCATCCGATCGGTTGTTCCGTCGTCGATCATCAGGAATGTGACCCCAAGCTTGGTCGTGGCCCACTGGCCTTCGAGGATGATATCGGCGAGAGTCTGGGGGAGCGTTGGTCGATCCTTTGCCCGATGTCTCTGCAGGGCACTGCGGACACTGCCATACATCGGCAGTGTTGCTCCGATCTCTTCGGTCGGGTGCTGAGTCTGATACTCAGTGACGGCATCGGCCAATGCTTCTCGATATACCTCTTGGCACGACTTGTCTGGTCTCGCGGACACCATGTTCTTCATTCGTTGAATCGTATTGCGCCTCATGAGGTCGCGATCTTCGACTCCATGACTGTGCTGCGTCGACATTTTGACGACGGCGAGCTCTGGGTCCTGATCGATGAATATGTCAGAGAATCGGAAGAGAGAACTCTCGGAGGAAATTCATATTCATCTGAATTTATTGTCGGACGGACCAGGAAAGTAGTGAGACTACCAAGAAATTCACCTTATCTATGGTGACCCGCGCAGGACAGTGATCGCTCTTCGTTCTTATACAGCGGCAGTACAGCCGACCTCCATGCTTCTTGTCGACCTCATACAAGAAGCCTCCCACGAGGTAAAGTTTACCATTCTTATGCGATAAAACTTCCTCGACATCCATTGGATATGAATAGTCGAACGAAATCAAGAGCAAAGTATTCTTAGTTTAAAAAGCTCCACCTTAGCGATTTAGAACCCTTAAAAAGCTGAAGGTATCACATTAGGAGCGATTCTATTACAAGACGGGGATCGGAATGATAACAAACGGCAATCGAACGGCGCATCTGGGGGGCCTTCTCGCCCGGGGTTACCATCCCTCAATCGAATCCTTCCGAACGGAACCATCCGACTGAGAATGCTGATACCGCTCAATCGGGGCCGTTTGACCGAATGGGATCTCCCAAGTCCGCAGACCCAAACTCTGAGTATTCTCAGGCTCCCAAGTAAAGGAAAAAATATAGTCGGAGTCTGATCAGTATCGCCGGAGGATTTCCTGGAATAGCTGCCCTCTCTCTATCCGCTCTCACTCACGAAGTCTCTCGACGTGCTACCACCAAAGCAAAATATTTTGAGCGATACGGCGCACACTCCCATTCGATAAGTGATGGTGTCTCGATCCAGCTGTTCCCGAGACTTTCGAATAAGTGACGTGGAGGGTCGCGGAATTTCAAGTGCTCACTCATCTAGGGAAGAGTATAGATGATTGGAGGCGCTCACAATCAACTCGGCTTATGTGGAAAGTATCCCGAAAGATTCGAGTCTATGCTTGGTGGTAACCTCATTTGATCGCTTCGCTACTATTTGTTTGAAGCGGCGCTCCCCCGCCAGATCTCAGGTCACCAGATTCATTCTTTTTAGCGAGTGAACGATCTTTGTACACATACATGTACACGAGAATCTAGTGTGAGTGGAGCCATACTCGTGTCCCATCCTCAGGAAAGAAGGCCGGCAACCTTTCTGACGGACTCAATGCCGATATTCAAGGACAGACACCTTGCATGGTTCCTACTCCGAACATAAGATGGACAAGTGTTCTCAGCTTGAATATGCGAATTCCAGCAGTGTCGCGGTGAAACGGCCCCACTCATAAGGTTTCCTTCATCTGGTTCCAGTCAACAGGGTGATGCGGGATTCTGGGCTTTCAGGATTCAGGATTTCCGGGGTTCTGGGCTTTCGGGATTCAGGGTTTTCAGGACTCTGAGTTTTCGGGATTTAGGATTTTCGGGACTCAGGGTTTTCGGGATTCCGGGTTTTCGGGATTCAGGGTTTTCGGGATTTAGGGTTTTCGGGATTCAGGGTTTTCGGGATTCCGGGTTTTCGGGATTCCGGGTTTTCGGGATTCAGGGTTTTCGGGATTCCGGGTTTTCGGGATTCAGGGTTTTCGGGATTCCGGGTGCACACGATCATACTTGCCATGACCGACGACGTTCTGATGGCTCTCCTGGCTATCGGCATGTTCTCGTCTGTCGTTTTTGTGAGTCCCGTGAGATTGTTGGGAATATTCTGGGATTCCCGTTTCCCGGACTCGGATAATTTTATCCTCGGAAGAAGATCTTGAAACCTACATTGCCATTCATTTCTTCGCTCTTCCCCCCTAGCCTTATAAGAGGTGGGCCATGCTGTACTACGTTTTCGGATTCCTCTCGCTGTTTCTCCAGATCATGGGGAGTGAGGGCGAGGACTTCTTGCCTAAAGAACAGTGGAAACTTGATTTCTTGAAGATGGATATCGAGGACGTAAGTGACCGAACCAGAAAACTCAAGCGAGAAATAATTAGCGTCGTGATCTTTGGCTTGAGCTGATGAACTTCTCAGGGTTACATCGTTGGAGCGGACTCCATAAACGTTGTGGG